GGTGTTTGGGGTAAATAAAACCGGCAGCTTTTTTAAAACAACCTCCGCCACCTGAGATCTCAGTGATGTAACATGACGAAGGGTTTGGGAGTTCACGTCCCTCACACAGAATATCCGCTGCAGAAGCTCCTGGCTGGGAGGCCCACCGAGCCAGCTCTTCTCCAGGGAAGGACTCAGGGATTCTCCATCTTTCCTTCACGTCCCGTTGCCATGTGGCGCTTCCGACATGGCCTCAGAAAAGGAGAGAGCACAAGAGAGGCAGGCCTTCTTGCGGTTCTGCGGGTGACGGGAAACTGCCGCTGACGCTCCACAGCCCCACTGAGATGCAAGGGATGTGGGACATGCGGTTCTGCTGGGTGCGTTGGAGCAGGAGGTAGTCTGGACGGGCCACCTCACCCCCCACCCCGCCAAGGACCATGTCCTCAGTCAGGCGCTGGACGGGCAGCGTAGCACGACCAGGATCCTCGCGATCTCTGCGTGCAGCAGAGCCGCCTTTGGGTCCAAACCAGCCCCTCCGGAGCTCTGCAGTGAGAGAGAAGACGCGTCTGCATTCTTTCAGCCACTGTATTTTGGGGCCTCTGGGCCACAGCAACTTAGCCTTTGTGAAATGGGAAAAAGCAGGTTTCAAAACAGTACACAGGACGCTCGTATTTTTGGCAAAAAATGGACACGCACAAACATATCCACAGGAGGGTAGGAGGGTCCGGGAAGACCGACGGTGAAGGGACTGGTCATGATCGTGTGCTGGTGGGAATTACGGATATTTTCTCTTTCGCTCATCCACATTATCTAATTTTCTATAAATGGAACACGCGCACTCCTCTAGTAATTAAGGAAGCAAGCGGACAGCTGGGAACCAGGGAAACGGAGCAGCACAGTTAAGGAACAAGCCGTCCCTCGGTGACAGGGCTCGCTGGTGGCCCAGGCCAGCTCCCAAGCTCACGGCCTCTCTCATCCCGCCCCCTTCCCCACCAGAGACACGTGACTATTTTGCCTCTGTCGGGCTTGGGCAAGCGCGGCCCCGATGAAGCCTGCTGCCGGCAGGACCCGCCTGGTCAGCTCGCACCGAACCCAAGCTCCTGCGGTCCCGGAGGACAGCCGATCTCCAGTGGAAATTTCAAACTCCATGAGCGCAGGGACAGGCGGGGGCTGCTCCTGAGTAACTAATCCGCGGAAAGCTGCTGAGACGGTGCTGTGCCTCCTGCTCATGAACCTTCCGGTGTATCTCTTCAAGCACTAATGACAGGGAGTAGCCAACCTGCAATTGAAAATTCAACTTGAAAGTGATTTTTGAGGTTCCTTTCCACTAACTGCAGGAAGCTGGGGTGGGGATGAGAGCGGGGGAAGGATGGCAGAGACGGGGAAGGAAACCCGCCTGTCCTAGAAAGGGAAGCCTAATTACTCCCTGAGCAGACGCAGACAGACTGGAAGGACTGACGGCAGGCAGGCTGGGCCACAGCGCTCGGCTCCCGCTCATCTTCCCGGCGCGCAACGGTGCAGGCCTGGAGGGGTCCGAGCAGGTGCAGGGGCACTGGTCCACCCTTTCCTGTCAAACGCAGGACAACGGAGGTTCACCGAGATCATCCTCAACGGAGATCACGCCCGCGGAGACGCAGTGGCTGGGAGGCACGGACAAGCAAGGGGAGTTGTCCTGCTCTGTCCTCTCGCCCACAGACCCGGTGGCCCGACGGTGCCTTCTGGCAAGTTGGCCAAGGTTCCGGATCTTGTGAGAATGCTGGTGGTGGGGCTGACGCCCCTTCTTCTCCCACTAGGGTGACCTTCGAGGCTCTCGATTTAGCATGAGGCCCGCACGGACAGTCTGAACGCAACGGAAAGTTTGCACATTAGCACTGAAAGTCCATGGTTTTGTGCCTGCAGCTCGCCATCAGTGGTGTGAAGTAGAAAAACATCACTCGACACCAAAAGGCCAATTCCCGATTTAGTTTAGGAAAAAAGTCTGGACGGCTGTGCTCAGACATCCTCATTCCACTCTGTTGGTTCCCCCCGGCCGGCCTGCTCATCAGCAGGAGCCGGGCTGGCAGAAGGCACAGGTAAATGCCCCGCTCCTTATCGAGGCGGAAAGCACCTGCGGGACGGAGACACCCAAGCCCTGGCCAAGGGCACCCGCCAGCAGACACACCCCAGCAGAGGGGACACTGGTCCTTTTCCCTCGGCCGGGAGGCTCTGCCGCTCCGTAGCCACAGGGCCCGATGACGTGGTCAGTCCCGTATCTAGCCCCTGGGTGTACTGCGGCGTGAGACCCTTTCCTGGTCTACACAATGAGGGGAAACACCACGTACCGACTTGGGACGGAGCACCTGGCACATAGCAGAGGTTGAGCTGCTGGGCGATAACTAAGTCACGTACTACACCTTGCAGGTCGGGTCTAGAGGTCACAGCAGACAGCCTAAGAAGTAGTATCTGCGTAGCACACACAGTGATGGCCACCCTCCTTTCTGGGAAGGGCACCAAGGGACAGTCCTGGGACCCGATGCCTTGCTCCCAGAGGCAGCTGGCCTCCCAGCTCCCCTGCCATTTGCCACCCTGGCACTGGTCCCAAGCCACTGGTCTCTACTTTGGCTGACTTTGGGTCAACAGGTTCTGTGGATTTTAATGGTTGACACAAAGCTAGTCTCCCTGGTTTCTCTGTCTCTCTCTTTTTTAAAAAAGGTTTCATTCATCTATTTGTCAGAGAGAGAGAGAGAGCGAAAGCACAAGCAGGGGGAGCAGCGGGCAGAGGGAGAAGCAGACTCTCCACTGAGCAGGGAGCCCGAAGTGGGACTTGATCCCAGGACCCTGGGATCACAACCTGAGCTGGGCAGATACTGAGCCACCCAGGCGCCCCTCGTGTCCATCTCTTGAAGCACCAAGCATTCACCCTTCCAGCCCCGCTCACCTTTCCAGACCTTACTACGTTTCCTTTCAGCTTTCCCCTCTCAGCACCAAAGAGCACAGGTGCCACAATGGGGAGGCCTTAATGGTTGACTGGCCCAACCCTTGTATTTTTCCTCTGGCTTTTATTTATTTATTTTTTAAAAGATTTTTATTTATTTGACAGAGATAGATCACAAGTAGGCAGAAAGGCAGGCAGATAGAGAGAGGGAAGCAGGCTCCCTGCTGAGCAGAGAGCCCGATGTGGGGCTCGATCCCAGGACCCTGAGATCATGACCTGAGCCGAAGGCAGAGGCTCAACCCACTGAGCCACCCAGGCGCCCCATTTCCTCCTGCTTTTAATTAGGGAAAGATTTTTAGAAAAGTATATAAAATATAGGAAAAATTATAAAACACAGGAACAGAAGAGCAATCATCACCAACATGCACAATGCCCAGCCGCGGTGAGTGATCAGCTCATGGCCAGTCTTGGTGTGTCTGTGAAACCCCACCCCCCAGCTTCCCTCTTGCACAGTCGCTATCTGTCTTCATCTTACAGAACACAGACAGGGTGATACCAAGGAATGGTGACTTGTCTGAGCCCCCACCACCGGGAGCGGGGGACCAGAGTTCAGGCCCTGGCCGTGCGTGCCCGCCCCCCACCCGCTGCTATAGGCACCTGCGCTAGAATTCGCATTTCTCTCTAACGGTGACACTTCCCTGCCTCATTTATTTAAAGTGGAAACTTTACACCTTCCTGTACATGGGAAACAAGCATCATTTGTCACAAATGGAAGGTATCCTAAACATGACACAGAGAAAACAATGTCATTAAGTAGCAACTCCTGCTTGCTGGGGGCTCTGTCAAGCTGGCTCACTCTCTCCTGAACTCGGAGGTTGGCAGGAGTTAGATCCCCTGGTACCAACGGGGTCTGCTCAGGTCTGGTGCAGTCAGGATCTAAACAGTTAAAAATCCACATAGCCTTCTAGAAGGCGCTCTCTTTACTGTGATTTCACCAGCGGCTCACTCCCCCCCGCCCCACGCCCCCCATTTCAACGCCTCTGACAGGTGCTGTCAGCCAGCTGGCGGTCATGACGTACTGTCATTTCCACGTGCTCCAACCTGGTCACAGCTGGTGATACTGTCCTCACTGCACATGACAACGCACACTGGAGACCCGCGGAGGGGGTGGGGGGGCCAGTCTACACGCCATTTCAACGCCTTAGAAAGGATGGGCAGCAACGGGACAAGAGGTTGTCACAGACCCCACGTCCTCAATTTGGGATGTTCTCACAAAGCGACAAAAAGCGTCTTATGAGAATAAGAAGGGAAGAGACCCACGGGCCAGCAAAGCCGTGCTGTAGTCTGTCCCCTGCTCGACAAGGAGACCCCGGGCAGGAGAAGCTGCCAGCCCCCTTGGAACAGATGAAAGACGTTTCAGAGCAATGAAAGGCTGGTGTGAGCGACTCCCGTGTCACACGGGATTCTCAGGAAGGCCTGGGTCGTGGCTGAACTGGCAGCATGTTGCCTTTCTTAATGGTTCGTGAGGTCGTGGTGCCTCTCACGAGCGGTAACAGCTGGAATGGTGTTTAGTCTGTAATCACTGTCTGTATGGAAGCGTTCTGGCTGCCTCTCAGCACACGTCCCCGGACCGGGCACTGGAAGCGTGCCCATCTCCTGGATGGGGTTCTCACACTGCGGTCCCCAGCAGACTCCCCCAGGGGCTTGCTGACAATCAGACTGCTGGACCTCACCCCACGACATCTTCTTCCATTGGTCTGGGGAGGGGCCTGAGGCTCCGTGTTTTTACTCAGCCCCAGGATGCTGCTGCTGGACCACACCCCGAGAGGCAGGGGCCTATCCTTTCCTCCGCACTAAATCCCCTTTGTCCTCAGCTCCTTTGAGCCCGGTGAAGGTAGGTGGGGAAGGCGCGAGCGGTACCAGCACACAGGGAAGAACCACCCATTCTCTGGACATCTCGAGAAGGCAGTGACTCGCTGGCATCTTCATAGCAAGGAGATGGTTGGGTTGGGAAAGCTCTAGGAAACTCCCCCTTCCTTCAAGACCCTCGCCAGGTCAACGTCTCTTCATATAAACAGATGACGTACTGGCGTCAAGGCTCTGCATGAACTGGGCCGGCATCTGTTCACAGTAATATTTAGGATAAAACATGGGACAAACAAGCCAGGTGTCCTTCTCATGCCTGCTTACATGTGTTCTAGCTGGTAACATGGGCAGATTCTTTCCCCTTTGGTACGTATGTGTGTTACTGCTTTAGCAGAAAGAAACATGTGTGTGCTTTCTTCCTCAAAAAGAACAATCCATTTTGTAAACTGCAAAAACGTCTCTGAAATGGAATATTTGCCAACACTGTCCTCTCTCCTAAAAGCAAGAAGCAAGGAAATATGTCCTCGGAAAGAACAATGTTTTAAACACAGACGTTACTAAGTGTTTTTGTTTTTTTTTTTCAAAAGGCCCAGATCCGCTCACATGTTCACTCAACTGAGTGCAGGAGGTGCTTTAAGAAATAGGAGACAAAGCCTTGTCCGGGATACGAAAGGTTTACTGCTTATTAAAAAAAAAAAAAAATAAGTTACCAAACCAAACCAAACACCCAGCGTGACAATATGCATGAACATGGGCTCATTTAAACGATAACGGCTCATGAAAGTGACCTAGAACACAGACCCAGGAGAATCAATTCGCCAGCGCTGCTAACATGCGAGAAAGAAACAGGCCGCATAACCGTCTTATTCTGAGTTCTAGAAAGGTCCTCTCTGCCTTCCATAAACCAGTGACTGTATAATTAGTCCCAAACACACGAGATGGAATGTGCCGGGGAAGCAGCTCCGCCTTAAAGCAGGACTGCTTGACGGTCGGTGCAGAGCGTAGACCTGGGTCTGGGCCGTGAGGACAGGTCTGAGCCATCCTCTGACTGAGGGCTCGTCTGGGAAGGTGCTGGGCGGGGCCGACAGGCCCACCGGGCTGGGGCTGGGGCTGGGGCTGGGTCACTGTCGGCAGGTGTCGTGGAAGGCTTCGAGGGTTCGGAAATCCCTCCACGTCGGGGGAAGGCCATCTTGTAGAAACTTCCCGCAGCGCTGGCACGGGGCCTGGAACAGCTTTATGTAACTTCTTAACCAGGTCTAAAAAGAGAAGTGAGGAGAGAAATAAAAGAAATGGGATCCGGGTGCTTCCAATGTCATCCTTCCTGTCAAGCCCAATGACCTCGAGGCCAGAGAACTCAAGTTGGCTGTGACCCAAAAGACGGCCCGTGATTTCAGAGCGTTGCACGCAGAATCCACAAGGTCACAAGGCCGCTGATTCTCAGTTGTGGCGCTGCCCCAGGCACCCCCCCCACCCCCGCAGCTGAGGGTATTTTTAAAAAATAGGAATTCCTGCTCCCAGGGGCAGGAAGTGCTCCCTGGAGGAGTGGCCATGCACTGGCGCACAGCCTGGGGCTCGGGGCCACACTCAACCACATTTCAGTCCTGTGTCCCGTGACCCCTGAAAATGCGCACTGGTCCTCGCCTCGCTCCCGGCCGAGGAGCGGGCACGGACGCTGTGGAGGGAGACTCCGCGTCGATGACAGTGTTCGAACTCTCTACTGAGGTCAACATGCCTTCTTCTAATCTGATTTCAGAGGTCATCGCTCACGGTCACAATGAGGCCCAGCGCACCTGGGGGAGGGCAGGGACACCCTGGTGCCACTGAATAACATAATAAGAGGTGAATACACACTTGAGTGGTTCAGAGGGCAGGGTTCTCCCCGGCGTCATACATAAGGATGAGACTCCCGTAACTCAATTCTCAAACTCAAGGAGATTTGCTACAAAAAAAAAAAAAAAAAAAAAAAAAAAAAAACCCAACCCAACCCAAACTCCACAACAACAGGCAAGCAAGTTAAGCAAGTTCTCACTGCGACAGGGGCACATGAATATCATCCTTTAATGTCCTCCTGAATTATGTCGATAAGAGAAAATTGTTCTTTCAAGAGGGGAGGTCGAGTTTATTGATACAAATCCTCTGTCTCCATCACAGCTGCCTTGGCGGTGGCCGACTGTGGCCCATCGCTGCCGTCCCCCTTCCCACGGCCAGGTGGCCGAGGTTCTGGCTGTAAGTGCGCGGCGGTCGATGACCGTTCAGCTGGACTGTTGATCCTCCAGTGGCGACCAAAGCCAGATCCTCCCCAAATCCCAGAGTCAGTTACCAAAGGGAAACTGGGCATGACATGTTAGGTTAAAAAGCAAGACCGTCTATCTGTCCAAAAAGGAAGAGCTCGCGGAGGCTGTCAGAGGACCGTCCTCCCGACGCACGAGAGAGCCCCTCACGTGGCTCTGCCGCGCGCCCTGGGCTGCTCACTCACCCCGCAGCGCCGTGAGGCTTATCAATAAGTCGGGCTTGTGTCTTCCAAGAAATGAACTGCAGGTTCGCTAAGAAGCTCACTTGCTGAGGCAAAATGACGTGATGACGCGGCTGAGCGCTACTCCACCTGGCTGTCAACACTGATTTGGACTTGCTAACAGGTAGGTCTTCCAGTAGGTCTCTAACTGGCAGCCTTCCCAGCATGCACTGAGAAGGGAGCTTCAGCCGCAGCGAGAGAGGGAGCCCACCATGGGGAGAGCACGAAGCCATGTCTGCATGATGTGGACACACATAGCTGCCATTCTGGCTGGAAGCACCGAGCTCGGGCCGACCGGGGGGTCACATGGCAGACCTGGGCAGAGGCATGCAAATGAGCCAGCCCCCGGGGCGGCGGCAGGCTCTGACCCGCAGCGCTCGCTGACGTCGGTGGTGCCAATGTTCTGGTTCAATTTCGAGCTACCAGTGGTCGGATAACCAGGTTGCAAAATTCTCGACATTTCACAAGAGCTGGCAGGAGCCGATTCCAACACACCAGTACAATGGCTGTCTGGCTGTTTTGGGGTCACTCCCCAACCTGAGCTCCAACCTGAGAATGTACATGTCTTGGGGGGCACTTCAGGAGTTGCCTTAGTCATTGGCACCTGCTCAGCACCAAGCACAGGGCCTGGCATAGATGAGGCGCTCAATAAGTATCTACTGACTGAATCAATGTGGGTAGCTGTGTTGGGAGATCACTTCTGAAACCACCATTTGTTCAGCCTGACAGAGTACACCAGTTAATTAAGTGGGAAACGGATTCTCATAAATCCCTTCCCAGTGTAAAGAAAGCCTCAGTTCTCCAGGCTGGCCCGTCTCCCACGGCGAGGCCCCGAGGCCCAGAGGCAGAACAGCTACCTTCTGAGCCTCCCGCTCTGACCTGGGGGGAGCTGAGGTTTTCGAAGGAGACGTGCCTCCTGAGGCCACTCACCATGAAGGACCTGACCACGACGTCTGGCATCTGGGGCAGCTGGTAGTGTAGCAGGGCGGTGGTGGCGTGGTCTGTCACCTGGAACCAGGGACAATGACAGGGGTTAGAGGCCACTCCAAAGCAGTACAGAGAAAAGAAAACCAACGCGTTCCCTTTCTGTGATAAAGCGATCTGAAGGAAAGGGCATCTAAAACAAAATCTCAAGTACGAAAATCAGTGAACAAAGCTGGGGAGCAGGAGTGTCATAGGCAGAGGACACCAAGCATTCAGGCCTGGAGGTAGGAGGAGTGAGTTCCAGCAACAATTGGAAACCGCAGCGGGGGGGTGGCGGGGATGTGCACCTGAGAGGAGGGCCATGGCCCACAGCCAGCGGAGGGGGGAAAGGCCAGCAGGCCCCAGAGATTTTTAGCTAAGTCACTGCAGGAGGAGACTGCATGGATGCAAAGAAGCATTTCCACCTGTCCACATTCGACTTCATCTTCACATTGGAATAACGTCCCCGGCGGGGAACTGGTCTTTCTGCTTCCTATAATTCTCATTCTGTCTCACAGTTTGTTGTCAGAGAGATTTTGGATTCCATCACCCAGAATCTGGCAATTTCTCATGATCTTTCCCTTGGGTCTCACAGTTCCTACTACCCTTCCGAGGTGCCTTGCCACTCAAAATGTGGTTTTCTCTCCCTAAGCTGGGGCCCGTCTTCAGCATCCTGGTGAGCCACACACCCACTGTCTCCAAACTCCAAGTGGAGGCTTTATCAGCAGGGCTGAGAGCAAGACTGCTTTAGGCCTTCTAGAGGCAACCGGTGACCAGACAAGGCACTGTGGGCTTAAGCCCCCAACTACTTAATCTCTCTGGGTCTCAGTGTCCCTTCTGGAAAACAAAGGAGTAATCTAAGATCCCTTGTAGTTCTGAAATGTGACACCAGAAATTGCTAATGCCTGCCACAAATCAGCAAATTAATAAATAATATACCTGATTTGACAGTTGTTCAAAGTCCTGGTTTAGCTGACTGTCTTCAATAGGATTCTTGTCATTATAAATGTTGTGGTTAAAAAACAAAATGAAACAAACAAACAGTAAAACCCCATGTAAAATGTTCAACTCTGAGCAGGAGTAACGTGGGTCTACCTGGTGTAGACTTCCCCAGTTTCTACATGTCCTCGGACACCACGTGATGTGCCAATGGACCTAAGTGGCAGGGGACAAAGCCGTCAGGTGGAAGGAACCCAGAGAGGCTGCTCCAGGCTCCACATGGTGAGTTTGCAAACGATCTAGTAGTCAGTCTAGCTGTGTCCATGCTCAAGGTCAGAGAGGCCATGCTCCAGACAGAAGACAGAGGCTCCCTAGCTTATAGAACCTGAGCCTCACTTCCCCTAAATAAATGGCCGTGCTTGGAAAGCCCCTCCCGCCCAGCCAGGCTGCAGCCCTGCCTGTCTCCCCTCCCTTCTGCTCCTCTCGTCTCCGGACAAGCACTCTTTCCCTGCTGGACTTCCGTGGCCTGCCTGGTGGCTGGAGAAGCCACAAGATGAATAGCTCTGTGGGGTCAGGATCATGCCCATCTCGTTCATGCTACGTCCCCAAGGCCTAGAACACCGCCCAGCACCCAGCAGCTGCTCAATAAATACATATTTGTTGGATCAAGAAATAAACTTAAAAATGCCCACTCACCAAAGGCTACCTACCAGGAACACCTGTGCTGACTTTCTTGGAAACATAAGCTACGGGTCACAGATCCAACACTGCTGAGAAATTGTTACCCAAGTGACTTTCAGATAAGTGGTACTTATCCTTCCAAGTGCAGACTGTTTTTATTTTAAGCATTTCTGACAGACAGCTTTCTAAAATGAGCAATGCTTTTTTTTTTTTTTTTTAAACAGTAGTAATGATAACTTGGCAAGATGGTGGGTGGTGATTGTGGGGTGAAATTATGGCCATAAAAACACAGCAAAGCAAACTGGGCCCCATGGCCCCTGAGCTCGGAGGCTGCTTCCTGCCCACCCAGACCCATCACTAAATAAAACCACCCGTGCACATGCCATTTTGTGGAACATTTACGAAAGAGAGTTTCTGGAGAATTCTTTCTCCAGCCCCTGCTATTTACTTTACAATGCTTCTAACAAGCCCTGCCCCCCATGTCAGTGCTGTCATAGCCGCGAAGCCAGGCTAGCTGCTCACTGGTGGCATGCTGTCCCCTAGCTAGGGATGCGCTCCTTTCCCCAGATGCGGGGAGCTTGTCACTAGTCCCAGGGAGTCCACTTCAGCTGTCCACTTCAGCAGACTGAGCAACTGTCCTGGGGCCAAATTCCCCAGTCACACTGGCTGTCCAGAGGCCAGGGCCCAGGTTGGCCTGCTTTGTTTGGCTGCACGTTTTCTTTGCTGTTCTTTGTCGAATTTGTAACAGGAAACATTGTATATGCCCAACATATAAAATTCGGCAGCACACTGGAAGTTAACGGAGGTGGGTGTACTCTGCTTCTCATTTTGAAGAGGAGGAGACGGAGACTTCCAGAGGTTGGGCAGGCGGCTGCTCACACAGCTGGGGAGGGGCAGTGGGGGCCCCAAGCCTGGACCACCCCTCCCAACCCGGCTGGCAATGCAGGTTCTGGAAAAGGCACAGGCCCCAGGGGCCCGGGCATCGTCTGCCTCGAGTCCCAGCCCAGTGAAGTCCTCAGTGCACCAGAGGCCCAATGAGAAGCCCAGGTCAGGAGATGTGCAAACGTGGCTGCTGGACAGCTGGGCACTTGAGAGCAGAACAACCGACCAAATGGACCAGAAAATCCTCCGGGTCCTGCTCCAGATCCAGCTTAGCGCTCTTTGGCCTCTGGCTCCTGAAGAGGGTGCCTCATTAGTTTCTCTATTAGTAGGCTGGGAATCCGGCCCAATTTAGCCACTTTTTCACAAGGTCCAGTACAAACTACTCCTTTATATTGTCAAACGGTGGCAGTTTTTTCTTGTGCTGATACGATCATTTAATTTCCCCACTTTCCCATCACAAATGACAGACATCTTACTAGAAGGAGACAGAACTGACAGATTTGTTGTATTTTCTCTCTCTTCCTCACAAACTCCTCCACTACTAGTTTTGGGTTTCCTGTGACCAAACTCCAAAGCACCAGGCTCATCCACAGCTGCAGAGTGTAGGGAAAACTCACCTGCGATGGTCCTCCTTTCTGTCAAGCATTCTACCTTCACTGTTTTCTTGTTTTAAACTTTTCAATAACGAAGTTTTTTGTTGTTGTTGTTGTTTTGTTTTGTGTTTTGCTCAGCATCCAAGATTTTGAAGAAAAAAAAAATCAGGCTGGGAGGCAACAAAAACATCTTGCTATTAACCAATTCAATTTAAATCTACTCTGTGCCAGCCCAGTCAAGGCTTGGGCCCCACCATAATGGCCCCAAAGGTACAGCTCCCAGGATTCCACTGGGAGATCAAAGCCACCCTGCCCGGTGGGGGAGGCAGAGGAAGGGCACTAATGCTTCCCAAAGGGGAGGCCATTCATCCCTCCAGTGAGTGCGGTTAGGAAAGCCCTGAGAACAGATCAAAGCAGACCTCAAGCTGAGCAGTGGCAAGGGAAGGAGGAGCAAAGTAACAACAGACCAGCAAGACAGGGGACCCCGTAGAGAGAAGCAGAGGGGACCTGATGCCAGGTCAGCAGCGAGGGCAGGAGAAGTTCAGGCACAGAGGGACCGGGCCACTCAGAAAGCCGTGGGCGGGGCGCCCTGCGGGCTCAGTGGGTAGAGGGTGCAACTCTTGATCCCGGGACTGTGAGTTTGAGCCCTCCGCTTTGGGGGCAGAACTTATTTAAAAATAATAAAACCGAAAAGCAGTGAGCAGACAGCCACACAGGGGCTTTGCCGCCGAGAGCTGTCCCTTTCCACTTCCGGGCAAGGACCACTGCAGACGCCGGGGCTCGGTGTGGGGCGCCCTCCCCCGGCCGGCTCACTGCCGGTGGGTTCCTGAGGAGGGTGACACCCCCGCGGCCATCACGGATCTGAGGGGCTTTATCAGTCTCCCCGTCAGCTTCCTCTTCCTCCTCTGCCAACCGGGGCTTCCCGAAATTCTCTCCCCAGCTCAGACTGGCAGGGAAGGTCTTCAGGCACCCAGACTGGCGGGGAACTAAGCTCCGAGGGAGAAAGGAATCTTCCAAGAGCCCTTGAGACAGCTGTCAGCCAGCACGCTGGGGCAGGAGATGCCAGTCATGACAGGGTCCTGAAACTCCTGCACCATGTTGTGCGCGAGGAGCTTCTGCCGTCTGCAGCCCGAGAGCGGGAGGGTGCGCGGGACATCACGAGTCATGGCAGCCGGAGGCAAAGCGGAGCTGCAGCCGCGCTCGAGGTGGTCTACACCACACGGCGTGGCAGGAGTCGGCACGGGTCTGAGCGTGGTCTGCTACATTCTAGCTGCAGGACCTTGGACAAGGGTTCACTGGCCGGGGCAGGGAAGGCACTAGAACAGCAGCACCCGCCCTGCCGTGGGTCTTCCGGGTGTTCTCTGGCCCCATCCTCACGGCCACGGCGGGAGGGCGCTGTGATGAGCCCGCCCGTTCCCGAGAGAGGAAGGGGTCCCGGGAGGTCAAGTGTCCGGCTGCTCAAGCAGCTCCAGAACCGCACGGCAGGCGCCTGCGCCCTGACAGAGGCCGCAAGGGTGCGGAGAGGTGGCACACCCAGGCCACCCCCTCCGTACAAGGGAAGGGCCCTCAGGTCTCGGAGGAGGCAGGACTCGGTGCCCAGCTCTTGCCACTCACATGGCTCTCCCTCTGCCTCTTGCCCCTTGTCACAGCCCCGGCGCCTATCCCACTGGGCCCCCCAGAAGGTCTCTGGGTTGAGTCTCCCTGCCACGCAGAATGAGGGGGCACGGGGCAAACTTTTGAGAGCTGGCAGCATTCGGTCGGCAAGCACACGTTAATGAAGGGAAATCCAAAGAACGTTGTGAAAGAATGGGGGGGGGCTGCTACCCAGAGGGGGGTCCTCTGTTACATTTGGCACATCAAGTCCAAATTCATCTTCCCACTGGTGGCCTCTGGCCAGCTGTGGGGCCAAGAGCACAGGGCTGGGGCCGGCAGGGCTACTTCCTGCTGAAG